AGGGATAAGACGATACCACTAGTGAAGGTTCTTTAGAGGGACCACGGAGTTGAGGAGGCTACTTGGGAGCTTGAACAGGAGGTTCATTCTAAGTATCCAGGGTTATTTTCTCCCTCAAGTATGGCTTGATTTCGGGGACGAAATCCTTTAAAGTTGGGGAGATTGTAATGTTTTCATTTTTCGCCATTTTTCATTTTATGAGGTTTTCTGTTTTTGCAAGCACATTTCCGTCTTTTCTCATTTTGCGTACCGGACACCGTAGAGTGTGCCAGTTGTGTCTGAGAGTTGGTTTGGGCATTTCATTGAGTTTAGGACTCTTTAAAATGTAAGGGTTGCCATTTCAGCATTTTTTTCCATTTTTCGAGCCGGATGGTCCCGTGTGGGACCTGCCACCCGAATTGTCGTGTACAGGGGTATCAGTTGGTTCCATTTGCATTTCATTTATTTTATTTAAAGTATTTTATGTGGTATGTGTATAGTTTATATGTATATGTGTGTGTGGTGGTGGAAAAAGAAAAGAAAAGTTAAAAAAAATAGGATTTTTAGTGGTAGGACCCACCACTAATACACATAAAGGCCAAGAGACCACATTTTGGTCTCACTTTTCTCTCTCCCCGACTGAAGCTTCCTCTCCCTCTTTTCTCTTTATTTTTCTTTTCTTTTCTCACAAAACTTCCATCTTTGATTACTCTTCAACCATTTGGAATTTTTGGGGGCTGTTTGCGGCAAATCGAAGAGCCTGTCGAGATCTACGTGTGAGTACAAATAATTCATCACTTGGTGCACTCTAGGGATTTCAAAATTTTGAACCCATTTGGGGGTTTTTGCATCTAAGGAAGGTAGGGGTTCCTAATTCATGTAGTCTTACACCTTTGTGAATTAATTCCAATAATATGTTGCCTAGCATGCTACTTGTGTTAAATTTTCCTCTAAGTGTTTAGTTGTACATAAAATGTGTGATTATGTGTTCTATTTGATGCTATTTGAAATCGCATACTTGTATGAGTTAAAATTCATGTTTTATATACCTACCATGCTAGATTATGATTGAATGAAAGCATGTTGTAATTTCTTTGGAATTTCTTGTAAAGCATGCTATGTGGTTTAAGTTTGAATTAGTTGTACAATGATGATTATTGACATAGCATGATGCATTTATGCATAGGCATAGAGAAAGAAATGGGAAGTAGATTTAAAAAAAAAAAAAAAAAAAAAAAAAAAAAAAAAAAGGACTTTGGGAAAAAGTTTTGATAAGTGGTTTTATGAAAAAACCAAGATGCCGAGGGGGTACTGAGGGTCCGTGGCGTTAATATAACCTAGAGGGAATTAGGGAAATTTTGAGCTATCTGGGCCCCAAATGACGTCGCGGGGTTACCAAGGGTCAGGGACAGTAGCCAATCCTTCTCTCGTGTAGCGAGGGAGTTACCTTGGAACGGGTTATGTTAACGGTTTAAAAAGCAGAGAATGAAAGTGATTTTGAAAACGGGGAGCGACATAGCACGGCATATCATTCCATAACATCACATTGTCCATTTTGGTCTTGTAATTTGTTGTAATTTCTCCCGGTATAGCATGATCTCATTCCCTATATCTTTATTTATTATTTAGATTCACGGGGTCACAAGAGGTGTGTCTTAGGCACCACCTACTAAATAATTTGCTCACCCCTTATATTTAACATTTTCAGGTCACGGAAAAGAAGTGGCGGATAACGTTCCACCATAGGCCTAGTATAGATTAGAAGATCATTTTGTTGTTTTTGTATCTAAGTCTCACTATTTTTTGTAAAACTTAACATATTGTATTCTGTACTGAGATTTACAGACTCTTGTTATTGTAATTACATTCATGGGTTGTAACTTTAATATAAGTTGTCTAAACGTTGTAAGATATGGACTTTTGATCTTAGCCATATTTTTGGGACTGTAATTATGATATTTGGATTGAATGGTATGTGATTGTTCCACCATGAGTTGAACTATGTTGAGTCATAATGAATGGATGAAAGGAATGTTGAAATGTATTATTTGCATTGTGTGTTAGGACATGTTAGATAAGTTTTGAAGGTCTAAGAGAGGCCATTGCATTTTTATGCATTGAAGCAGGTTGTTATAGAATCCTTTTTAGCAAAGGTCTTGCCAAATTTTTTTTTTTAATAATTGGTATCATTTTAGGGTCGTTACAGGGGCGACGAAGGAGGAGGGCAACGTTTGGTGGAAGAAGCGGGGCAAATATTGCCGACTATGGAGTGGTTGGACGGAGTTTTTGGGATGACCGAAGCTTGGCCAGAAATGGAGTTTGCCAACTTCGGCTTTCATCAGAGGGATGGTATTTTGGGATTTATATATATATATATATATATATATATATATATATATATATAAAATAAAAATAAATAAATAAAAAAATTGGTAAAAATGGGTAATTAGGAGGCAAATTGCACCAAAACAAAGAGTAGGAAAAAAAGGGGGGGGGGGGGGGGGGGGGGGTCGGTTCTTTGCAGGGGTGTTTCTTGTACTTAACCCTAAATTGTATTAAAAAAAATTGGAGGTAAATGGATTACTTCGCAAGTGTTAGAGTCCAAAAAAAAAAAATTAGGAGTGTCAGTGTAATTTATCCTAAGTCATTGCATTCTGAACTAATCATTCCATTATGATATGTAATTAAGACAAGATATTTTACAAAATGTATTGCATAAAGAAAAAACTATATAAATAAGAGGTGGATACAAGAATTAAAATTCTGGTTAATTAACTTATGTTTGAGAAGTAATTTAAGGATTGTCCAATTTAATTTATGTGACCCCACCCAACACCCCACTCACATAAATTAAATTCAGTAACTTTTGAATTAGGTACTTAAACCAATATTCCTTCTTTCAATAATTAAGAGATTAAAACTTTTTCATCTCAAGTCTTAACTACTTACCTTGCCTCTTAAAAATTAATCTTTTTCCATGGTGGTTACAAGACTTGGAATATTTTTCTTTCCCAAGTAAACTTCATTAATATCAAACAAAACTTGCAGAGACTGTTGAAGGAGCTAGGTTCACTACTTTATACCCAGCATAGCTAGGCTCCAAATACCTAAGGTTTGGGCCTATGTTTTTGTAATAGATTGGGCCTAAATTATGAGCATCTTTTGCATCTTACTTTACATTGCTATAATCTCTGGATCGGGCTTGTTACATTATCAAATTCCATTTTTTTAGAGGCTACCGTGAAAGATTTGATTCCTGTTCCACAAAAAATGCTTTGATCCCTTGCCCCATTGTGGTCAAATTGTTGTTGGCACAACGGTCGTAGGGCTAGGTATTGGTGGGCTGTCGTGTTCTTTTTATTTCGCCTTGGGGCGTGTTGGGAAAATTTTGATTTCAAAGTGTAGGTACATATGGAAATTCTGAAATCGTATAAGTTTGGATCACTCAACATTATTAACGGACGGAGTTTCTTGTAGGCTAACCTCGGCTATAACCCAGGTCCAAAAAATAAAAATTAAAAATTAGTATTATTATTTTTTATTAATCATAGCCCAGCTTAAGTTGCCAAATTTGTAATAAAACATAAATAATAAATGATACAGTCTAAAAAATAAGCCAATAAAAAAATTAGAATTTAAAATTTGAAAAAGCCTTGAGAACTGTTTGGCATGATGTGATGTTTTTATCTTCTTGAATTTTTTTTTTTCCAATAAATTCTCTACTTGAATATTTTTTTTTTTTTCCTCGTATTTTCAAATCCAGGCTCGCCCTGATTATTGTAATGAAAAGAAACTATTTGTTACATTAGTTAGAAAGCGGGTAGCCCGCATCATCTCTCTCCCATCTCTAGAATGTATAGAAGCCACGATCAATCTGGAGTTCGTGGTGGAGGTATGAGGACAGCGTTAGGGAGGTCCCATTCACAAGCAATATGTCTGCTGATTGGAGAGTAATCAATAAGTGAACAGGACATGTCTGCAATTTCAATTGAATTGTGTCAAGAATACGATTGAGTAGGGAGTTTGCTGAAAGACATTTCTTTTTGAAAACTCTTCGATTGTGATACGGACGCTATGTAATTTGCTTCCTCACCTTTGCAGGGTTGGGCTCCCAAGCCACCAAATTGTTCCGTGAGGATGGTAGAACATGAAACGCACAACGTGTTTGGATAAATGTCCAAGTGGGAGCAGAGAATGAGGATTGAAAAAAGAGGTGATTGTGTGATCTAGGGACAAGGCTGCATAGAGGACAAATGTTTGGTGTGCTAAAAAAGGAGGTGCATTCACGATCAAGAGTGGAAAAAACTAGACTGGACAGTTAGCCATAGGATAAAGGAGTGGTTAGGTATATATGGATTGGACTTAAATGGTACGTGCTGCGAGTAGTACTCTAAGGGGTGAGCAATGGAAAAATCACTCGATGGGGCAGGGGTCCAATGAAGCTTATCAGGTCCGTGGGGTTGGGAATTGGTAGGAGAGTAGTAAATGTGAGCGTTGGAATGACGATAGTAAATGTGAGCGTTGTAATACTGGGAGGAAATGTCCATGAATCGACAGAGATGAAGGTGCTTAATTAATGTAGTTTTGCTGTCCAATGAAGAGTTGGTGAGCTGCTGACTTGAAATTCTGAGATGAAGAGGACCAGGGTGTGACCAGCTGTCAAACCAGAAATTGGAGGTTGATTCATTGCCAATTTCAAGTTTGTCAAGAGACTGAACATCAGGTCTGAGTTGCAGCAACTTCCTCCAGTTCCATGAGCATTGTCCAGGTATGTTGACCTCCCGTAGACTCCTTCCTTTTAAGAGATTAGTGTTGACTCATCTGATCAAAAGCATCCGTTCTTTATCTGTGAGTAAATTCCATTTGAAATATACTTAACTTTTCTTTTATTTTTTTTGAGATTTGTAAATTTTATTCCATTGTGTATGAACTGTCACCCAACTTTCATTAATGAACTTCAAAAGAAACACTTGTACGTCTTGAAATTATTGAGCAGTTTTATGATATCAAAGCACATAACAAAACCAGTACTTTTATAATATCAAAGTGTACATAATAGAAATCCTGAAATCTTAGGAATCAGTCAGAACTGTAATTAAAACAAATTATTTGCGACAATTCTTAAAAAAAAAAATAGAAAAAGAAAACAGTACTAATAATCACTCCAACAATAATAATCACACAAGCTCACAATTTCTGAAAAAAATGGTTGGCAAGGTGTTGAGAAGATCGAGAGTACTAAACCTAATGAGGTCATCTTCACTCGGCTTTTCAAACACGAGAAAGGTGGTGGGGAACTTCTGTTTTGGATTTACCAATAAAACTCAAAAATTTGGTTTTGGATTTACCAATAAAACCAGTGTACCGAGGGAAAGCAGGTTCTATCATCTTGATGATGTACTTGAAAGTTTTCAAGGAGGATAGATAGAGAGGCAAGTATGATAAAACAAAGACAGTGACAGGAAGGAATGCGACGGTGTACAAGGAAATTTTTGTCCACTGTTCCTTGTTACGTATCATAAGGGCGATGGTGGCTGCAAATGACAACATCATCATTGATACCGATAGGAGCAAAAATGTGAATCCTAACATTAGTTTCTGTGGAAGAGAGTGCTTAAAGTCTCTTAAACGAAAAGTCGAAGTGAGGATTGACAAAAATATAACTAATGAAGTTAAAGTGCATGTAAGGGAAAGGACATCAGTGATGGTAAAGATAACAAACAAAGGTTTGCTGAGAAGTATTGGAACGCCTGTTGTACCATTTGAACCTCCGGGTACTGTGTATGCCGCGGCAAAGGCAACAGTGGCAATGAGCACAGCAACAATGGAACTATTTTCTGATGTACGCTTTAACCATTCTTTGGCCTCTGTGTGAAGTTTTTCAGTCTTGAGAGCAAATAATTGTTCTGCAGTTTGCCCTTTAGAGTTGACATTGTTGAAGAAATGCTCTGAGCAGTGTTTCTTTACTCGCTGCATCCAAGCACAATTGCATCAAGATCACTGATTTTATGGTAACACATGCCAAAATCCACAATATATACATATCAATTAATTATATATCTAGTAAAAATACAAACCTCAAATAAGAGCAAATCCTCTTGCAATTGGAGAACAAGGTTTTGATTTGTTTCTTTGAGTGTATGATCTTCTTTATCATCTCCGGCCTTGCCCTGATTGGAATCCAAATTCTTGCTACTTTCTTGTGTTAGTTTGATCTGTTCAACCGTGTATTCAGTCTTCTCTCCAACCATGTGTAGAATGGAATTCGAATCGTTGTCTGTCTTTTGTACCAGCTTCTTAATTAGAGTTCCCATTTTCTCCACCATATTAAAGATCTCTAATTGGCGGTACTTGATGGCTATATGTAAAATGGTGCACCCACTGTCATCAATATGCTCAACTGCTTGAGGGTACCAGTGGAGTATATCCTCAACAATGTCCACACAGCCTGCCTTGGTTGCCAAAAACAATGGTGTTTCGGGAATTCTTTTCGGTTCTTCTTTCTGCACAATAATCTTTGTTTCTTCGACCTTGGGAGCTGATGATGCCCCCTTTCCATCACTTTGGGTCTTATCATCCTGGACTTTATATCGGGATGACACTTCCACTGGTTTAGTATTCTTCCATGATGTGGTATCTTTCATAACTAAGAATTTAGCAAGTTTCATAGCCATATGATATTTCAGCTTTTCGTTCTTAATATTTTCCCACAAAGGCACTCTCCAACCCGTTGCATCTTTTGAAAAAATCGAAGTCAGTAACTATTTGGAATAAACTTCCCAAGATTACATGCAACAAATATGTAATGACAACAAAGAAAGTAAGATAGAAATAACACACAACAAAGAACAAACTAACGTTATCATTTTATTGTGTACTTTTCTATTAAATACCTTTGCCTTCTTGTATTATAGGAGTAGCATCTTCTGAGACACCTGAAAGCACATTTAATTTCTTTGGGTTATTTTTGGCCATAGCATGTAATAGAAACCTTATGAATTAATCAGATAAATATGTAATTAGCTTAATTAATTAAGATTTTAATTTGTAAGGTTCTGAGTTGACATCTTTATCTCATTCAATCTCCTTGACAATAATAATAATTGATTCACATTCAACTACTAATGATCAAGTTTCAGTATGTCACCTTCTTAACCTTTAAGAATAGATGGTGAATAAAATAGTATATGAATATAAGAAAAAGCTTAAATCAATTATTATTTTCTTATGAAAATGTATCTCACATTTGTAGATAAGACGTTTGAAATATCCTGCATTCCTGCCCTGAAATGCTGATGAATGACGTGCAAGATGGTGAAGAGGAGTCATCCCATCTTCGTCTCTTTCACCGACTAAATATTCATACGTTCTTGCAATTTTAAGGGCCAATTCTGTTCACATTTGATAGTAAAAAAGTTACGATGTTAGTTGTAGACAGTAAAAATTACGAAAAAGAAGCAACAATGTCTCTCGAGTTAGTTAATAACAAAACCAGGTCACTTAATATATGAAACATCATATAGACCAAATCCAAGATGCAAGATGCATGCAAACTGAAACATATATAAAACCCAAGTAGATTGAATATGATGAAATTAGGTAGGAGCTAGGAACTCACTAAAATGCCCCGAGACAATCGCAGTGTGAAGGACAGTGTTATTGTTGGTCGGCTTCTGATAAAATGCCTTGCGCTCTTCTTCACTTAGGCAACTTCGACGAACTTCCCTATCAAGAAATAGGAACATCTCAAATTTTCCATAGCGAGCTGCACGAAAAAGAGCCGTCTCTCCAAATTGGTTGGTGATAATCAACAACCCGGGCGCCATTTCTAGCATTTTCTGTGCAGCCGGGACTAATTTGTTGAAAGCGGTTGCCTCATGGAGGATTGTGTTTCCAACAGCATTTTGACGGGTCAAATTGCCGTGATCAGTTGCAGTCAACAACCCTAGCAATTTAATTACTAAGTCGGCTTGCACAGTGTATACAGCCATATGAAGGACTGTGTCATGGTGTATGGTTAGGACGTGCAATGGACCATCTGGATACATTTTACGGTCTCGACAGAGTTTAACCACATCGCTAGTCTTTTCCTTCTTTAGAGCATCGTAAAGCAAAGCGTTACAATCATCTTCTTTCGTAAGATCACGCTGTGGTGCAGTGGCAGATTGAGATTGCCCCATTTGCCGGATGTGGTAAACTATGCTTGTATATGTCTATTTATATATATATGTGACATATAGACACACAAAAAGATATATAATCAATTCGGAAATCTTAGCTGCTGGTATCTTATTAAAGTAGTTTATTCTTACTTCATTTAGTTATAAAGCAGATTCTGACTAGCTACTTTGCTCCAATGTGAAGCATTGCACTTTTATTTTACAGTGCTCATGAGGCAATTCTTTATTCTCAGGCCCTCTTTTATGGCAACTTTGTTAATGTTCATATTGTCATATTCCCAGACCAGCTCCAAAGTAAGGTATTAGAGCACACTTTAAGTTTTTGATGAAATATATATATAATTAAAATAAGTTCGTTGTGTCATTTGAACCTCAAATAAAAATACAAAACTGAATTAAAAATGGAAAAGGGATCTGATATTAGCACTGTAGATCATATAATTTTATATTTTATTTCATTTTTTTGTGCATCTAGAATTGTTCATTTTTCTGTATGGATTTTAATTAACTTCATTAAGTGCACCTTTTTTTTTTAAGTCCAAACATAATTAAAGTCAATAATTAAATTTAAATTGTACTATAATTGCTGTTAAAAGCATTCATCTGAAATCCTTCAATCTACATAGAGCCCGGCCTCTCTTCCGGTGCCCTGAGCTCACACTGGAGATCGAAGGTCCTCTCTCTGATACATACATATCAGTGGGGCCAGACTTCCATACAGCATTCTTAAGCCTACATTCTGTGAATTAAAAACAAGGTCCTGTGAGTCCAAATCAATTTGTCCTAGTGTAAAAGGCTGATCAAAAGTGCCCCCACCGATTTTAGGTTTGATTCTCCCTTCCCTAAATAACTACTAACCATTACCGGGTTAAAAAAAAAAAAAAAAAATTCAACAAATTAGAGGTTGATACTGACATTTGTAGCTACACTGGCCAATTAATTTCTTCCAATAATTAACAGTTTATTTTTTCATTAAACAATTGTATGTATGTTAAATACATATACAGGAAGAGAGCCGAAAGGCTAGTCAGAGACTCATATTGGCCCAATAGGGCGTAGAGCCCAACCTGGTCAATAAAGCCCACAAGTCTAAAATAAGTAAAAGCCCAAAGTACATAATTACAATAAGGGCCTAGCCCACATAACCAGAACTAAAATGAATGGCCGATACTGAGTAGACCTTTACTACTGGATGTTCAATGCAGTTTCAAGATTTAATATTTTCCTAAAAAACAAACAAAACTTAACAAAGAGATGGTGATACATACACAACATGGTACCACTGCTAATGCACCTGATTAATTTCTAAGAACTTGGAAGAGCTTGAAAATTAATCCACGTGTGTATAAGTTATTCGATATAATATTAAAGAGAAACACAGAAAGAGTGCAAAGCACGTAACATAACACAGACCATTATTTTTATGATATCAAAGTGTACAAAATGAAAATTCTAAAATCGATCATGCAAGCTACGAACACTCAACACTGTAATTAAAAGAAATTATTTGCGACAATATTTAAAATCTTGAGACATAAAACATGCACGCAGTACTAGTAATCATTCCAACAATAATAATCAAGAAAGCAAGCTCACAATTTCTGAAAAGATGAAGATTGGCAAGATGTTCAGAAGATACCGAGAGGACTAAGCTTTTCAAACGAGAGAGTCGGGGTGGGGGACTTCTGCTTTGGATTTTCCAAAAAACCTCCAAAATTTGGATCTGGATTTAATGGTAAAACTCCTAAATTTGGTTTTGGATTTACCAATAAACTTCCAAAACTTGGTTTCGTTTTCAGATTTAATAGAACCAGTGTAGTGAGGGAAATAAGGTTTTATTATCTCGATGATGTACTTGAAAGTTTTCAAGGAGGGTAGATAGAGAGGCATGTATGACAAAACAAAGATAGTGACCGGAAGGAAGGCGACGGTGTACAGGGCAATTTTTGTCCACCGTTCCTTATTACGTATCATAAGGGCGACGGTAGCAGCAAATGACAACATCATCATTGCTACCGATAGGAGCAAAAATGTGAATCCTAACATTAGCTTCTGTGGAAGAGAGTGCTTAAAGTCTCTTAAACGAAAAGTCGAAGTGAGGATTGACAAAAATATAACTAATGAAGTAAAAGTGCACGTAAGAGAGAGGACATCGGTGACGGTAAAGATGATAAACAAAGGATTGTTAAGAAGTATTGGAACGCCTGTTTTATCATCTGAACCTCCGGGTACTGTGTAGGCAGCCGCAAAGGCAACAGTGGCAATGAGCACAGCAACAAGGGAGCTGTTTTCTGATGTACGCTTTAACCATTCTTTAGCCTCCGTGTGAAGATCTTCAGTCTTCAAAACAAATACTTGTTCAGCTGTTTGCCCTTTCGAGTTGACATTGTTGTAGAAAAGCTCTGAGCAGTGTCTCTTTACTCGCTGCATCCAAACATGCACATTGTTGAATGAAATATTTGGTGAGATATATATATATATCAAACATGTACATTTAAGAAATGGAAGTACATGCATTGCATATATAGAAGTAAAAATGCATGCATACCTCAAATAAAAGCAAATCATCTTGCAATTGGACAACAAGGTTTTGATTGGTCTCTTTGAGTGTGTGATCTTTTTTATTGTCTTCGCCCTTATTGGGATCCGAATTCTTGACCTTTTTTGTCGTTTTTTTTCTCTGTTCATTCTTGAATTCAGTCTTCTTACCAACCATGTGCAGAATGGAATTCCCCTCATAGTCAGTCTTTTGTATCAGCTTCTTAAATAGAATTGCCATTTTCTCCACCTTTTCAAAGATCTCTAATTGACGGTACATGATCGCTATATGTAAAATGGTGCGCCCCTTGTCATCAATATGCTCAACTGCCTGAGGGTACAACTTCAGAATTTCCTCAACAATATCCTCACAACCTGCCTTAGTTGCCATTAACAATGGTATTTCCGGATTTCTTTTCTTCGGCTCAGTATTCACTATAATTCCTTCCAAAGGTTTAGTGTCCGTCCATGATTCAGTATCTTTCATAACTAAGAATTTTGCAAGTTCCTTAGCAGAAACATATGTTTGCATTTCCTCCTTCATTTCTTCCCACAAAGGCACTCTCCAACCCCTTGGATCTTTTTGAAAAAATCAAAGTCCGATCAGTAGCTGTTAGCTAGGAATAAACCACCATGATCACACACCACATTCCACCAAAGTGGGAAAAAAAATTCACACACAACATATATGCAATGGCAATTAAAAAAAAAAATAGATAGATAGATAGAAATAACACACACAAAAAAAGAACAAACTAGCACTATCCTTATTTTATAGTATACTTTTCTATTCCGTACCTTCGCTTTCAGGTACTATAGAACGATCTTCTGAGACACCAGTACCTGAAAACAAAATTTTCTTTGGGTTATTTTTGGCTGTAGCACGTAATAGAAGCCTTATGAATTAATCATAAAATTAAAAATGTAATCATGAGCTTATTTAATTAAGCTTTTAATTTGTAAGGTCCTGAATTCACATCTTGGTCTCACTCTGGTAATAGAAATAATTGTTGCACATTTGGTTAAATTTATGATAATAGTAATAATTGATTCCCATTTTAGTACTTATATGTAAGACTACTAATAATTAAGTTTCACCAGTCTTAACGTACCTTTAAAGAATAGACGGTGAATAAAAGCAGTATATTGATGTTAGATACTCCTCTTTTATAAAATGTTTGTCCCTCTAAGAATTGTGAACCAAACTAAAAAACTAAATCAAATATTACTTTTTATGAAAAATGTGTCTCACACTTATAGATAAAACCCTTGAGGTATCCTGCTTTTCTGACTTGAAATGCCCATGAATGTCGTGCAAGATGTTGAAGAGCAGTCATCCCATTTTCGTCTTTTTCACAAACTAAATATTCGAACCTTTTCGCAATTTTAAGGGCCACTTCTGTTCACAATTCACAGTGAAAAGGTTACAATGCTAGTTGTAAAAAAGAAACAGCAATGACTCAAGTTAATTAATATATAACAAAACCAGGTAATTAAGCAATTCTATAGCTTAATTATGCCGCACATAAAAAATAAAAATAAAAATAAAAAAAACGCATCATACCAAATTCAAAATGAAAGTTCCATGCTCAAACATAGAGGACGAGGAGATTGAATATGATGAAATTAGGTAGAAGATAGGAACTCACCAAATTGCCCTGAGATAACAGCAGCGTGAAGTATAGTGCTGTTGTCCTTCTTCTGATAAAATTGGTTGAAATCTTCTGCATTTATTTCAGCTCTAGTTTCCAAACTTTCCTTATCAAGAAATGTGAACATCTGATATTGTCCGAATTTGGCTGCACGGAAAAGAGCCGTCTCTTCAGATTTGTTCGTCATAAGTAACAAGAAGGAATTCATTTCTAGCATTTTCTTGGCAGCTGGGAGTAATTCGTCAAAGGCCGCTGCCTCGTGGAGGATTGTGTTTCCAACTGCATTTTGAACCGTCAGATTGTAGCTACTACGATTAGCCAACAGGTCTAGCAACTCAGTTACTAAGTAGGATTGCACTGTGTATGCGGCCATATGGAGGACAGTGTCACCGTGTATGGTTAGGATGTGCAATGGACCATCTGGATACTTTTCACCGTCTTGACAGAGTTTAACCACCTCGTCAGAATTTTCCTTCTTTAGAGCGTCGTAGAGCGCAGCATTGTATTTGTGGATGAGCTCCATTGTGGGATGTGCTAGACTAGGAAAACATACACACATATATGTGCTTGTGTATGCCTATTTATATGCGCGCAGTACAAATATGATTCCACTTTGGATTGCTGGTATCTTATAAAGTAATTATTCTTATGTCATTTAATAATACAGGGGTTTAATATATTCCGACTACTTTGCTCAAATCTGAAGCATGAGTACGATACTTGGATTTAATTATATACATATTATTTGACCTAGAAGCATATATCTTGAACTTGAAACAAAAAAGACAAACTTCAATGAAAAGATTGTCATCCAAAACTATGATTACTCGCAAAACACGAGTATTCCTTACAATCATATATATATATATATATATATATATATACATGCGAAGCCTTGTGATGCACACTTCAACGAAGAGAATATTGGCTGCTGATATACAAAGGATAAAGCAAATTAAATTTGAGCAGCACTGTGATTCTCAGACTGCACATTGTGAGAATGTGTAGCTTGTAACTACAGAAACATATTGGAATTTTTTTTTTTTTTTTAAATCAGTATTTGGCCTTTAACTTTTTCTTCTTTCTCCTTTTTCTTTTTAGCTATTTATTTTGAGAGGTGGTAATTTAATTATAAGCCATTGTGTATAAACAGTCACCCAATTTTCAGTACTGAATTTCACAAGAATCACTTGTGCAGCTTGAAATTAATTAACAATAATAAAGCTATACATTCACAAAAGGATCAATAAAGGAACTTCAAATCCACAAAGCTCTGCCTTAATTAAGCATGGGAATTCCAAATAAACTGAGTTGTTCATGAATAATTCGGACTCGGCTCGTTTAAAGTTCAGCTTGGACTTATTTTGTTAAGCAAACGATCCGAATTTGAAGGATTCATGATTTCATGACTTAGCATTAATTAACTTTTTTTCCCTGAATTCGTTACCTTAGCCATGCAGAATCATCAATGGGTTGTCACCGGTTACTCACAAACGTAACAAAAGTTCAACCTCATGCAAAGCCCATGAACTTGCAATTAATACTGTATGTGATCGATTTGCAGTATTGGGGTAGGATGAATGTGTGAATTTGCAGCGTTCTGATGCTTAAAATTGGATTTTGCTCTTCAAATTGTGAATTCATGTTGGACTAAAAATTTATTCAAGGGGAAACACGGACAAGTTCAAAGCACATAACACAGAATCAGTACTCAAGATATATATCAAAGGTGTACAAAGACATAGTGGAAATTCTGAAATCACACAAGCTCGGATTCACTCAACACACTGTAATTTCAAAGAAATTATTTGCAACAATACTTAATATACTGTGACTCCTCGGATTTTTAGGATTTTAATTTAATTCATTTCATGATTTTTAGTTAGGATTAAGCATTTAATTTTAATTAGAGAGTTACCCGATTAGAGATATTTTTTTTGGGTTCATAATTGTCTTATTGTTTTTTGTGGCGCATATATATATATATATATATATATATCTTGTGTGTGCGCTGTGTAATGGGAATGAAGTGAAAGAGAGATTTGAGGAAGGCAGCTGCACGTGGAGTGAAATGAGGAATGAAAAGTTGATTAGATGGGTTGCGAGTCCCACTTGAATGATGTTAAAGATATATATATATTGTTGGGAAACGTGCAAATTTTAAAAACTTTTCGAGGGATTTTGATTCATAGATCTTGATTCATCACATAGAGACAAGTTTTATGCAAAAATAAAAATATGATGTATCATTCAATTAATGGATTGAATACTTACATCAAAGGTCTGAGTAAACCTTTAAAACTTTCCTCTAAAGTGAATGTTCTCACTTATTGTAGATCCCTTAGCAAGATGCCTTCTCCTTGGATCTCCATCTTCTTGGTAATTGTTTTGCCTTTAGGAATCACTCATAAGCCTCCATGAATGACCTTGGAAAACTAGGCTTGTGGGAGTCTCCATTAGATGAGAACATAAACCCTAATTTTCTAGAGAGAGAAAAGTTATTCCTTTTTTTCCTCTCATCAAAATCACCCCTAAAATATACATAGACCATGTATATTTATAGGCAACATAAAGGTAAAGAAAAGAAAACAACGAATCCTTCTCAATCTCTAATTTACATGTCTCAAATCTAATATGATTCCAATATCAAGTTGGGCTATGAGTGAGAATCCATTGGGCCTATTATTTTATTGGCTACAATGAATTAATAATTGGCCCGGTCCATGGACCCAATTCAATTAATTCATAAATTAATTTCTACTCCACTAAAAGAAATTAATTGAACTCCAATTAAATAATAAATAACCTCTAAGTCAATATTGCACTTTGACCCCTCTATGCATAATTAGTTATCGGATAAATAATGCCATCAATCCGACTACTTAATTAATATATTTATTTTGGTACCTTTGATTATTTCTGACTCGATCACAATAAAACATTTGTTCGACAAAAATAATAATTTAATAAATAAATATATAATAAATCATTTTGTCTAAAATCATACGAAGGCCTTCGAATTTACTTTGTGATCAACCATAATTAATACAAAATAAATACAAGTAGCAATGATGCAAATATTGAAAATATAACCCTCTAACTATTAATTATATAACTACCCGAAGTGTCGGTCTAAGGATCCCGAAGAATCCGCCGAACAAATCAAAGTAATTATTAATTAATAAAAGAGTCTATACTTTTCTCATGCTTAAGAGTCAAATGCCATGACGGTGATAGGGAGTAATTGCATACGACGGCTCTCGCAATATATCTCAACCTAACGCGGATCCTGTTCAAGTCTTAATTAATTATGAGTCCATCCATAATTACCGACTATGAACAATTTATAATTACTATTTATATATCATGCATTGATTGCCATCACATACATATATATAAATATTTCTTGTAATTACATGGACACTATCAATTTCATAGTGAATCGAAATATAATACATTAAATTCACCAATTGTATAAAACATAAATATTTCAGAAACGTCAGGAACATATGTCAATTAATCCAAACAGGAATTTGCTATGGCAGGGCATATAAATCCCAACAGCTCCCACTTGCCCTTATAGCCAATTCAAATTGCACCTAACTCCAATGTTACCCAGATGATGATCAAAATTATTGATCAATGACACCTTTGATAATGGATCAACAAAGTTGTGTTCCAATGCAATGTTCCAGCTACAAGTACATTTTCTTGCCGGACAATATCATGTAGAACATGATACTTCCTATCAGTGTATTTTGTTCATCTATGGAACCTTGGGTAATTGGTTTGGACTACTTCTGCACTATTGTCGCAATATAGCTCGATAGGCAGGCTAGTATGCTCCACAACCTCTAAATCAGTGAGATCAAACCAATAGGCTTATATTGCCACCTTTAAGGCTGCAATATATTCCACCTGCAGGTTTGAGTCAACAGTTGAAATCTGCTTGACAATCTACCAACTGATTTCCCTTCCATTAAGTGAACATACACTAAGTCATGAACCTCATAGTATCTACTTCTGATTGAAAATCAGAACTAGCATACCTGACTAGGACCATATCATCACATCCATAAATGAGTATGATATCATTGATTCTCCTTAGGTACTTAATGATATTTTCCACAATAGACCAGTTGTCAAGTCCAGTATTGGACTGATCTCTACTGACTATCCCTACTATGTAGCGGATGTCCTGTTTGGTATAGACCATGGCATATATGAGACTCTCATATGCCGAAACATATTGTTCCAGTCTCATTTGCTCAATCTCCTCTGCTAGTCTTGAAAAACTACTTACTAGAGAGAGCGATCCATATCAATAAAGCAAGAACTCATTCTTTGAGTTATGCATACCAAACCTGGTCAAAACTTTATCAATGTAGGATTATTAAGATAAGCCTATTTTCCTTTTAACCTGATCTTGCAAAAGCTTGATCCTAGGAATATAGCTTACATCTTGAAAATCCTTCATTTAAAAGTAATTGAACAACTACCTTTTAATTGATGACAAAACTTCCACGTCATTATAAATGAGTAGGATGTCATCAATATATAGAATTAAGAAAAATAATGACATTCCCTTGCACACTCATGATTTATTCACTAAGAAATCTTCTGGTATCTTTTTGTAGATTAACTTGCCTTCCATAGGAATCACCCTACTAGAAAGTTCTACAAGATCCCAGAATTTATTAGAATACATAGATTCCAACTCTGATTTCATAGTAACTCACCAAAACGATCTGTATCCACATCGGTTCACGCTTCCGTGTAGCTTACTGGGTCCAACTCATGTTTAACATGGATGTCCATAATGGTCTCACCTAAAAACATGATTCTGTCGAATTGGATGATAATCCTCCCACTACATCAATGTACCGATGCAGAAATCGATGATGCTAACGCATTAATAGGGAATTCATATATTATTCTCAATTTCTATAATAAGTGTGTTCATATGTGGTACATCTGGTACTCTTACCATATTCTCTAACACTATGCTACTAGGTATGTGATTCATAATATGATTCTCTTATAGATAAACAGTGAGTGTAAACAATCAACTTTTATCATTGAGATCATAAAATAATCAGTCCTAGTGACATTTTAGAGTAGCTATCAAATCTATCATGCATATGATCTGTTTCTAACTTACTTGTCCATATCAAGCGCACATGTGCAAGACTACCCCATATGTGCATGTGATTCAAACTAAGATTTAGTCAAAAACACAGCTCAACGGTATCCTTGAGACAGACTAAGATGGAATGCAGTTCATAATACGCATCGATGTCATTAACGCTAAACTCTTAAATGAAAGAGATAATGTAGCATAGCTGATCATAAATCTAACCATGTTAAGTGGAATTCTGTTATTCCTATTTGACACCTAAATACATTTAGCGTCAATTGCGGAAAACTGGTACATAATACCTTCATTGACCATATAGTCTTTGCACTATCCCAAGAAATACTCATATCCTCGATCAGATCGAAGTGTCTCGATAAGTTTACCTAATATGTGTT